CCATGGCCTGCTTACAAACTCAAGAAGTTTGCAGGAGGCAGAGTTGTCAGCTGCTCTCTGTGGTACTCATCGAACTGGTAGGTGCATGCTGAAATCTCACCGTCTGGGTGGTATTCAACTTTAAACTCATCGAGTTGCAGAACTTTGTCAGCCTGGTCTTCTGAGTTGGAAGGTGGCAATTTCTGGTGCACCAGCTCTCCATAGTCCGAGGTACCCATAGTGGCTAATTATTTCTGGGGATCGGAATGAAGCGGCATTGGTATGGGATCTTGTGCAAAAACCTTGTTGCTGGCATTGGCAAAAGAAACAGCTTAACAAATTCAAGTCTGGAGAAGAAAGGAAGGAGACTAAATGGTGATGTGCACAATATTGTCATATTACAAACAGTCCAGAAGAGATAGTGACATGTATATACATACCTTGAGGTACTGGTGAGGCTGTAAGACAGATATTGAGTTTACAATGAGACTACTGCATCTTTGCATATGAGACTTAAAAAAAATACTTACAGAGATTATCCATATCCTCTGAAGCAGAGGAATCAATCTCCTGAACAGTACTTGTACAGGCTGTTTCTAAAGGTGGAGCTGTCGGTCTTTGCAGTTAGATGAGCCATAGAGTTGAACTCACCACGACTGCAATTAGAAAGGCACAAGTGCTGCAATTCCTCTTCGAGAATTTTATTTGTGGCTCAGCTCTTGGCCTGGTGTTCACAAGCTGTGCAGTGCTTCACAGATCCGTTCACCCCAAATTTACCATGGCAGAACAGGCAAGTCTTGTGCTCAGAAAAAACCTTGCAGTTACTCTTCTGAGCACGAATGGCTGGGATTGTCGATATTTGAATATGGAGGTGTTGATAGAGGGGCTTGACAAGCTAGATGGTACAGTTGCATGCAATTAGTGGCCTATTGGCAGCAAGCTCAACAAACAACACATTTTATGCATGCATTGAGAGAAAATGAATATTGTACTTACATTCTACAGGTCAAATACCCAGCGCAGGACTAAAAATTAGAAAGGGGAACATACATGTGGGCGTATAAGGGAGCATTGGACGCCCTTGAGATTAGAGCATGCACTTCCAAGCAGTTCACAGGTGATGATTGAAGAATAAGTAATTTATAGATATGATGGCCTCTTGAGAGCCATACACTACAGACATGAGCTGACTTCAGATCATCTGAAATGTCCCAGTCAAGCCATCAAACCTGTTTCATTTTCAGAGACTTAACTGGAGCTTTCTGGCAACCCAAAATGATAGATTTGCTATCACTTTTGTAGCCATTTGCGGTGCAGAAAAATGATAAATTCTGTGTAGCCTGAGATGAATCTGAAATGCCTCAATATGGCTACATTTCAGTACAGCAAAGAGTTCATGTCTCAGGAGACTTTGTGGTGCACAGTTCAGGACATCTGAAAGAACATATGTAGAAATCATTTCTGCCTGATTTTTGCAATGAGGAAAGGTTTGGGCAAGGAAAACTTTTGATGGCCCTGAAATTGCTATTTACAGCGGATTTTTAGTAAATTTCTAGGACACTTCTGATTTATCTCAAGTAAAAATCTTTTAAATCATAAAATAGCTTCAAAATCCATTAGAAATGGAGATTTCGGGACTATCAAAAGTTTTTCTTGCCCAGACCTTTCCTCATTGCAAAAATCAGGCAGAAATGATTTCTACATATGTTCTTTCAAATGTCCTGAACTGCACCACAAAGTCTCCTGAAACATGGACTCTTTGCCATACTAAAATGTAGTCATATTGAGTCATTTCAGGTTCATCTCAGGCTACACAGAATTTATCATTTTCCTGCACCACAAATGGCTACAAAAGTGATAGCAAATCTATTACTTTGGGATGCCAGAAAGCCCCAGTTAAGTCTCCATGAATGAAACAGGTTTGATGGCTTGACTGGAACATTCCAGGTGATCTGAAGTTAGCTCATGCCCGTAGTGATATGAAGAACCTGACCAATCCTACAATCTAATCTCAAGCCATGTTCAAACGGCGTCAAGATCACTTCAAGATGCCGACCTTGAAAGCTTGATTTGTAATTTGGGACAGTCAGCCAGATGGACTTCTTTGTAACATGTGACAGAGTCAAAATAATGGACAGGATGAGAGCCCTGTGATGGGTGATATCTGCTATGGCTGTAAAACTACTATTCACAAGTGTAGCTAGTGATTTGACTGGCTTGGCTTGGCTTTGCCAGACTTTGGCTTGGGCTGCAGCTTGAAACCTAATTAGGCAGGTGCTGTGAATTAACCTTGTCAACAGTTCCACAGCTGCCACACGTAGACATAGGAGTATGTACAGCATGTAAAGAGTTTCTTTGTATAGTATGATGTCTAAATACATACTCTGAGATATAATTTAGATGTGAAACATCAATTAAGTCGTTCAGAAACTTGAACTTCATACAAAAGGAAGGACGCACTGCCAAAAAAATGCGCAGATGCCAGAGATGGTGCATGTGCAAGTGGTGAACAGCAGAGGCTGACATGACGCAGCAGACACCTGTCATGGTCACAGGTGCCCGGGGGTGCTGGCAAATTGCAGGAGGTGCAGCACGACATGTTGTGCGCACCCTTTGGTGGTTGCACCCAGATAAATTATATTATGCTTATGTAAGGACTCATTTTCCAGTGTGCATGTCACGCAGCACCTCGACACGGTGGCCAGGCTGGCATTGGGCATTGGGCAGCTAGAGACCTCTAGCATCTGCCCTGCCATTTTGAACTGGAAGGTGCTGCCTTTGCAGGCAAGTGCATCTGCCTGAACAGGCCTCTCCTTTCACTTTGGCAGAACCTTGCAAAGCCATTCAAAGAGGGGCCCGCAATGTTACACAGCAGCTGGTTAAGCTGGGCAAGTGCTGATGCCCCCACTATTTTTTTTCATGGAGGCTCAGTATTATTAATAATCTATTGATGTATGTACATTAGAAGACAGATGCATTAGAGGAGAACACAAGATAATA